TATATATATATATGACACATACACAGAGAGGAGTGACTCAATACTTTGCACGGTACTGCATATACTACTGAGATCTATGTATCACCAATGGTTGTATAGAAATACATTTTTCCTCTTGATTTTAAGTAAACAGTATTACAAATTAAGAATTTAACTGGCTTAGTTGTGTTTTCCATTGCTTAACAATGCCAATTTTCTAATGCATTTCATACTATGCCAGCTACAACAGAGAGGAAACTACAATACCTCAGCACTAAACACTGGCGCACTGGTTTTATTTTAACAGTAGATTACAGTCTATCTCTGACCACTGTTCCTCTTTGACAATGTATTTTTCCTGTTTTGCATTCATCACCATGACTTCTGATACTTCTGTGCTTGCCTCGTCACTTAATTAATCATGCATTTGTTACCCCAGCATTTATAGCATCGACACTAAGGCTTGTGTAACTTTCCTGCCTCAAAAGCAACTATTAAGTTGGATAAGCATCACAAGAAATTTTTTTTAAGAAGTTGTGAATTTGATTTAAGTTATTATGTCTAATCCCTGTATAACAGCCAGGAAGAAGTGAGATCATTAAACATTATGCACGTAACTGATATATTACCCAATATAATCAGGCTGTATAACAAGAGGAAGGAGGGGGGAAAAACATGAACTCAGCCATAATTTGACATACTTTGGCCATAATGCCATGCCACACTTACAATATCCAGCAACCTGTCGACACACGATGAAAGCACGCTGTGTTGTTGGGTGAGATGTAGAGATAGGGAAGATCTGTCTGATTGCCCTTTTTGGCACAGGGGGCACAACCACTCTGCCACCCCATTCCTTTCACTGCACACCGCCTCTCCAGACTCCTCCTAACAAACACAAATAGACGTTTGAGAATCCTGCCCTTCAGGAGTGGTTTCTTTGCGAAAAAGAAAAACAAAGCAAAACAAAACAAAAATAAATGATGCATAAAGTATTTCATAGAAAAAGAAAGAAATTAAGATGTGATGCAATAACTGCAGTTTATGAAAGGGACTGACCAAGCTCAAGGAGGGAGTTAGACACAGACCAAGACAAACTGTTACTGGATGAATATCCACGTCAATAAATCTAATCACAAATAAGTACCTCAGTCTCACAAGAGTTGCACTTCTAACTTTCTAAAGAGATTGCTATTATTTGTCCACAACGACCAATTACACATCAACTCAAACTGTTTAAGTGGCAGCTTTGTAATGTAAATGAGTACACCTCACACTCGTAGATGAATTTACAAGGCACTGATGCGAACTCAAAGTTGCTCCTGGATACAAGATCGACTTAATAAACATATCTTTGTTGCCATTCTGACAATAAATCCGTACATACAATACCGAAATAAATGCAGAATAACCAGAGGAGCACACTCGATGCAAATCATAACATGCACTGCCCGAATTTACAAGTACACCGTCTCTCAGATCACAAATATCCCCACTGGTTTTGACTAATACGAGGAACATGTGCCCAGCATACTGCATATATTCTGATACCACACTGTACTCGCTCACCGTGCAGGATTTAAAAAAAAAATGAAATACTCGGGCTCCCATACAGTCTTAAGGAAACCAAACAAACCGCTGGTAGTGTGAATATTACCACAGAGCTTTCATGTATACTTCGGCTAAAATTCACAATCAAAGGTGCAGCGGAAAAACACGGGAATTCGTGCCCATGAGGAGAAATACCAACACAGCTCCCATCCTCACTTCCTCGTCATGCCAATTAGCAAGCTAGCAGGGTTATATGACCAGATAATATTTCGACGAGTCTACATCTGCAGAGTGTATCGCGTTTAATAGCTCCTAGTCACGAGTTTAATCATCAAAAGCAGAAGACCTACCTAAACTGGCATCTTCTTGGCCGTAGTTGGCTAATTAACGAGCAGCCTAATTAGCTATGCCGAGCAGAGACGAATCAATTAGCTAGCAAGCTAGGCGCTGTGAAGCCCCCCCTGTAACGTCGCATTACAGTGGTGTTTCTGGAAACGCTGGCTGCCAGTTAGTTTACTGAAAATAAAAACCTGCAGTCACAGCCACACTTCTCCGAAACTGTAAAAGACAAGGCAGGCGTCCGCGTAATCTCGCTCCTGGCTCTCTCGGTTAAGGCTGAGCGATGATTAAATTAATAAACAAAAAGGAGGGGGTGGGGGGCTGTGCTATTAACAGTCGTGTCACTTTGCTAGCTAGCCTGTTAGCAGGCAGAGATAATTAACCGCTCCTCAAACTGTCTCCCAACTGGCCGCTCTACACTCCCTACAAAACTCTGCCTCGGCCAGGTGGGGAAACTGCAGCTTCAATAACCGAGCGAGTTTACCCAGGATAGACGATAGACTCATAGGCTTCATATTAAAATAAAAAACAAAACCTCGGCCTCGAGTTATTTCCTTACCCCTCTGATTATAGGCTGCCAGTCGGGCATCTAGTGTTGCACTGCCCGCCGCCTGCTGCTCAACAGCGCAAATTGAGGCCTAGCCGGACTAAAGCCATTTAATTAATGAACGTGGGCTCCGCTTACAGATGTGTTAGAAGCACTCGCACCCCCTCCTCCCTCGCCGCCCAGCAAGACCCCCTTTTTGGACGCGTCCTAGCGCTCAAATCCATACCTTAAACACTCACGGTGCAACACATGGCCATTTAAACTAGCGTTTTAAGAGCTTCGAGCCGTAATTGGCGAAAGAATTAGACACCGAAAAGCGAGTTAAAAAAGCAGAGTACGTGCGCGGCGGTCGCCTCGACGATGGGGGTGGTGTAGGGAGAGCCAGGCAAAAGAGAGAGACGAGAGGCGAGAGAAAAAAGTTTGGGATTTAATGTTGGATTTCTATGAGGGATCGGATTAGTATGGGGCACGATCCGTCGTTTGCTCGATCCTGTAGCAGTCGCAGGCCACTCTCCCCGCTCAAATCGGCACAATTAACCGATCGCGAATGGCGTTTAATTAAGTTCGGAGCAATTAGCTAATGCGTTTTTTTTTACCTGCATGGTCGCCGCTCCAGCACACGCACGCACACACACACGCTTCCTCTGTGGCTCCTCAGAAGTGAAAAGTTTTCTTGCCTGCCCTCCCTCTCTCTCTTTCTCTCTCTCTCTCTCTCCTGTTCTCCCCCTCCCTTCATTCGCCCTATCCCTCTCTCCTTCCCCTCTTCCCTCTAGTAAACAGACCACAGCTCCCCCCGAGGCTGATTGCTGACATTCAGAGGGGACAGACACGGCAATCAAATCCCTTATGTAACCCCGCAGATATTACAGATAATTAATGTATGTTGAAACACTGATCGCTTATTATTGGGTAATAGAATTAATTAAGACAAAGAGAAAAAGGGGGAAATGGAGGATGAATGATATATTCATTTAGAGAGGTGGTGGGGGGAGAAAGAAATATCTTAATGCTCAAATTACACGGAATGCCCCTTAAATGCGAGAGCTCTTCCTCATTTTCACATTAAAAGGTGAATAATAAATGAGTCCCCATTCTGCCAACTTAGATTGTCACAAAGAGTGTGACGACTTAATTAAAGCTGAATAATGGAGATGTGACCGCGGAGCTTCCCTTCGCCGGCCTCCTCACACCCTCCTCCGCACGAATTCTGACATGTTTTCACTCAAACTATAGGTGTGGCGCACATCAACAGCCTAATGTGGGATAAATATTTATGAAGCGGAGCGGATTAAAACTGCACCATCTGTATGTCCCCTGCGTTTCTGGGACAGGAAGTGATTTTCCTGAATATACCAATAGGTGTCCTTAATTGCGCCTGTGCGAAATCAAACGTTGCTGACGTGTAGAGGTCACACGGATTGAGCTTTTTCTCTGATTTCAAAGCCGAATTGTTTGGAGTGAAGGAGCTGATGCGTGAAGGTGTGTGACGGTACACTTGGTGTTTTTTTGGAGACTCCGTGGTTCATATTGTTGATTTTGACATGTAGCTCCCGCACGATTCCATAGCAGCTGCACCGCCTGGGCTGAACGGCTCGAGTGTGATAATTAGACCGGTGTAACTTACTAATGGAGATACGTTTTTTGTTATTTTGTAACATACATAGGTTACATTATAACATTTAAGGACAGTCAATAGTAACTGGGGTGGCTGTTTAAGTGGAAGAAAGTTAGCATATCATTAGCAATAGCACAATGTAAACATAACCTTTTACGAGGAAAGACATTTATGTATATAACCTAATTTTAGTCAAAATATAGAAAACTAAAGGTTATATAATTTTCTTAATATTATTATATTAGTATAACTGTATTATTACTGATGCTTGTACTGTATTTCAGTGTAGAGCAGGTTAAATTACAGGCTGAATTTTGGCAGTACTTGCCAGCCACTTAGGTATACCTTGCTAGTACTGGATTGGATTTTTTACATTTAGAGCTGCCTTAATTCTTCATGGCATACATTCAACAAGCTGTGGAAACATTCCTAAGAGATTTTGCTCCACATAGACATGAAAGCATCACACAGTTACTGCCGTTTTGTCCAGCTGCACTTGCGTTCCCCCACATCCCAAAGGTGCTCTGCTGTATTGAGATCTGGTGAGGGCATTTGAGTACAGTAAACTCACTTTTATTAAGAAAAACAAAAAAATAACACTTGCTAGCTCGTTGTTCACGCTAAATTCTGACCCCACCATCGAGCAATGGAGGGCCATCAAATTAGTTAACATTTTTCCCGTAGTACTCAGGTAGGCTGTGGTGTTTAAGCCATGTTCAGTTGCTACTAAGAGGTTCAAAATGTGGCAACAAAATGTTCCCTTCACCATTACACTGCCAGCAGCAGCCTGAACTGTTAATATAAAGCAGGATGGATCCATGCTTTCTTGTTTATACTAGTTTCTGACCCTACCATCATGATGTCACAGCAAAAATCGAGGCTCATCAGACAAGGCAATGTTTTTCTAGTCCTGTTCTTAGCTTGCTGTAGCCTGTCTGCTTCAAGGTTTGACTTGTTGTGCATTCAGAGATGCTCTTGTGCATACCTTGGTTGTAGCAAGTAGTTCTTTGACTTTTTCCTTCCTATTAGCTCAAAGCAGTCTAGCGATTCTCCTCTGACCTCTGGCATCACCAAGGTGTTTTCACCCAGTGAACTACTTCCCTCTGGATGTTTTCTCTTTCTCAGAAGGTTTTTTTTTTGGAAACCCTAGAGATGGTTTTGTGTGAAAATCCCAGCAGATCATCACTTTCTGAAATACTCAAAGCAGCCTGTTGGCTAATTAACAATCTTGTCACATTCAAATTCACTTTAGTCACCTTCCTTCCCCAGTCTGTTGCTCTGTTTGAACCCCCAACAGGTCATCTTCACCACCACTCATCAGCAGTGGCGTTACAGCAACATAACAAAACGTTTCCCATAACACAGCCAGTCTGTGCTTTCTGCCCACTGATGAGAGCATTAACTCATCATATACAACTTACACCATTCTATTTATATCACTCCTACAGTGACTTTAAAGTAGACGTGGGCGTATTTGCAGTGCATTACACTGTCACTTTGGATCTCACCATGTTTTCTTTCTTGTTTTTCTTGTTTGTTTTCTTTTAGATGAGTGTTGAAGTGGAAAGGAAATTTTTATGCAATGCCGACACCCTGAAAAAACTGGAGGAGATCGGGGGTATGTGTTTAATTTGTCCGCCACACATTTACACATGAATCCAGTCAGATCGGAGGCATTTATCTGACGCTCTGATCCACGGCGAATTATAAACGGCCACTGAAAGGCTTTTCCAGCATTTAATGGCACTAATTGCTGTGGTTGTTGTCTAACTGTAGTGACACTGGCCATCTGTCTTTGGTTAATGATGAAGTTTAATTATCTGTATCAGCCTTTTTACATTTTATTTATTAAATTATCTATTTTAAAAAATCCCTTTTTCCATCAGCAGTTTGCGTTGGCCAACAGCAGATTCACGACCAGTATTTCGATACTCCTGAGTTTCACCTGACTTTGAGGGACATGTGGCTGCGTAAACGTAAAGGATGCTGGGAGCTCAAGTGCCCGACAGCAGAAGCGCAGAGCGGGAAGCAGGGTGAAGCAGCAGCATCTCTGTGCACCCGTTACAAGGAGATAACCAGCCTGCCTGAAATTCACCTGAGAGTCAAAGAGGTCATAAAACAGGACAGAGAGTCAGAGGCGGGCTTCTCACAGGAAGATGAGTCGTGGCTGAGCAAACTGGACCTGGTGTGCTTTGCAGAGTTTACAACAGCACGGTGCTCGTTTACTTTAAAGGAGGAGGGCGTGCAGATCGATCTGGACCAGGCTGACTTTGGCTATCATGTGGGGGAGATAGAAGTCCTCATATCAGAGGGAGGAGATGAGCAGGCTGCACTGGAGAAGATCAGAAAAACGGCAGAAAAGCTGGGTATACGCTCTCAAACATTTAACACATCCACTGCCTTATACTGTGTATTATTAAGCGTACCTGTGAAGTAGTGAAGACTTTTTTCTCTTCTTTTTCACAGGGCTTACTGGAGATCAGCGAGTTAAAGGAAAAATGGATGTTTACCTCAAAAGAAATCACCCTGAGCACTATGCAAAACTGCTTAGTGAACACATCCTGTAAGAGATCATACTGCATCTGTACAAATATGGGAACAAAAAAAGGTCTTATTTACTATAAAAGGTAATATTCTATAATAAAGTATAGATTTATAAACTCAATTGCTACGTGAACTTTTTGTATGTGAGGTTATGTTTTAGGGGGTTTGGGGATGGGTTTGGGCATTCGATCAGAGTTTATATTAATTTATCGCTAATGATGACAATGTTTTCTTACCGAGAGTAAAGATGTGTACTCACAAAGAGGAGGAACTGGTTTGTGACATGTGGCAGAGGATCTTCTGATTGCTCGGCACACATTTATTGAGTGATGAAACCGTCCCATTGTCTTTTCACAGAAACTTTCTTCACAGTATTTAAATCTGAATGTCTCACTAAAAACATTTGCACTTGAATGTTCTAGCGTTCAGAATTTGACTTGTTATATGTAGATACATATCTTTTGACGTATGCCATGCTTTGCAAGCAGTCACCTTTACAAGAGACTGTTTTTGGAGGCACTAATTAGTTTGTCATGTCCACGTCGTTATTAAGTAACTATTAAGTAATTACACAATGATAAATGAATACCTACAGTTGGTTGTGTGTATGTGGGCGGAGGGTGCAGCTATGTTTGTATTCCTGTCTGTATGAGAACATTTAGTGACAATAATCCATTGTCCATCCTCTTAATCCTAAAATAAACCATCAGGTGCCAAACCCTACCCAAATCCTAGTTTTAACCCTTAAAACCCAAATTATAACCCCAACAAAACAAAAGCCTCCTGTGCACAGGCACAATCACACACATTTAGTGAGTGTATCCTTGTAGCTGCACTCCTTCCAAAACAGTAACTTCCCTGCATGTTGCACGTTCAGGTCACACCTGTAAGTTGGAGCTATGGATAAATAGGGTCCAAATAGCCTGTTTTAGATCCAATTTAAGACCCAGGAAGCACAGAACAGGTTGCAAAGAACAGAGTGAGGACTGCAACCTTTCAACTAAACAAAAACATGTTCTGCTACTTAAGTCAAAATAGCTATTGCGCAGCATCTTGATTGTCCCAGAAATATTTCCTCCTTCAACCTATTGTTTACATTTACAGTTACATGCATTGTTAGAGTTATTATCATCTTAAATCTGATCATGAGAAAATGTTTGCCTGCTGCAGAGACACACAAGGGGCTGCACTGAGCGTGTTGTTCACGGTGAGAAAAAAAAGTGCTCCAGTGATGTCATTAAAAAGCTTCCCACCTCATGACTATCTGTTTGTTTTCTTCAAAAAGATTTCTTTGTTATGATGTGTACCAGAGATTAGATAGAAATCAGTCAGTTCAGTGATGGTTACAGAAAAAGGAGGGGACACACACAGTTAGAGGACAAACTGTGACTTTAAGTTTGGCTCTTTAAGCTCCATCACTTCTGTCTGTTAACGACAACATTTCTAATAGTCCTGTGCAATGTCTACTTAATGGTGATATATTCATTAGCAAGAGGAAAACACTGTATATTTTAAGCTGCAAAGAAAAATTCATGTTCTTGCACGTCAGCTTGTATCAATGATAAATTACCAGAGTCATCCATGGATAATCCTCTTTCGTTTTGGGTCATGTCCAGTCAGGTGGATGCAATGGAGGAGGATTCTCAGAGGTGTAGACTGGTTCTCCTGCTGATTAGGTCTCTGCACCTGTTGTAGGCAGATCCACCTGGACACCTGGAATTCACACCACACACACCATGGCTTCTGCTGTGCACAGACAGCTGGTCTTGTTCACAGGAAGACTGCACAGGAGGCCAACTTCATGCAGGAGTTGTTACACAGGCAGTCCTGTGTCATGCAGAATGTGGATGATCCCTTAATTTAAAAAGAAAACAACCCATCATCATCTACCAATCAGACATGCAGTGGATCGATTCCCAGCTAAAAAAGTATCCTTGAGCAAGTACTAGCCCTTTGAGTTTCCCCTGATTCATCCATCAGAGTGTGAGTGTGTGAAAATGTTAGCTAAAGGTTTGTAGGTATAGATGAAAGCACTGCATGACGCTGTATGTGACTGGGTGAATTAGATTTATTATACAAAGCACTTTGAGTGCTCAAACTGAGTAGAAAGTTGCTGTATAAGCACCAGTCCTGTTATCAGGGGCGGATCTAGGGGGAGGGGCTTTGTTTTCTTAGAAGAGATAACGATATAATAATTAGTTATTATACCTCTGTACCATTTACAGAGGTATGTGCTACCCTGTGTAGATCTCTTGCTCCTCCTTTGTTCTCACATGTAAAATTTTCTAGATCAGTCACTGCCTGTTACCACTTACAGTTTCCATGTACAGTGATCACAACAGAAGTCTGAATGTTTCAAACTGCAACAACACTTATTTAATGGACACCACGGCCCATAAGTCAGGAGGTCATACTTGTAGCAAAGGAAGCACAGAGTAAACCTAAGGCAGTCTGCATACGCTTACAATGTGATAGATGTTGGAGCAGAAATTTATTAGCCATACATCAAAACCAAGAGTAAATTCTGCTGAGGTTGTTTGCATTTTATATCTGGTGAAAAATTATGAGTGGTTCACTCCTATAGGCAGTTTAGAGTCACCAATCATCATTTAAAACATTAACTCTTAAACCAGTGATTATTAAATAATGGATGATTCCTAACAATATTATAGCCTGTATCCGAGGCTGCCTATAAATGTCCCTTTTCAGATATAACTTATATGATATCCACTGGTGTTTGGTAAATAATAAAATAAATGTACTGTAAAACATGTAACACATGAAATGAGTCCGTTTTCAGCCCATGGCCCATCTGTAAGTGAGAGGCCCTGGATTAGTGGTTCAGCTGTTGGTATGTTGTTTGAATCTTCCTGTACGCTGTCAGCAAATTGTTTAGCGAGAGCTTGCAGACATGTCATGAATTCAGAAGTCACATGTTGTGGGCTTTGATGACTCAGACCTTCTTCTCTTCATATTCACACATTATTTGTTGTGACACCCTCTGGAACACATTCCAAAATGTAGATTTTAGAGGCTAAGTTAGTTGGGTTAGTTGAGCCCCACGTCCACACAGTGGCCCTGGCAGCCAAATCCTGGGGGACTGGTAGACTGTTTTGTAGGCCCTAAATAACGCAGGTGTCAAAAAATAGACGGGTTATTAAATTATAGGACCCCCGCCCTTCGGGAATAGATGACAAACACCTTCTTTACCATGAGCAACCTCAGACTTGATTCATTACGTTGAGGTGACACAGGAATGAGCAGTACAGTCGTTCACAATAAATAAAATAGATTGCTTAGTGGCACTTTAAGTTGCTTAGCTTGACATGTTATCATTTTTAGTTTCCTTCCACTTTACTCTGTGTGCTGTTTTCATTTTAGTTTGAAGAGAAGAAGGTCGTCCCCCCACCACCACCACCACCACCACCACCAGACACACACACCCAAAAAATAAATACATAATAATATGAAAAACTAAATTTACTAGCCAGAAGAGTCCAAGTCCATTCATTACGAGCGCCTTCAGTGTACGACTACAGTCTAATGTTTATCTTTATGTTAAAGTTATGTGAAGCCTATATGGGCTGTACATGCTCTGGACATATAAATATACGACATACATTACGAAATATTCTAATTATATATTATATATATTCTAATTATATTATATAATCCATATAGATTATATTTATTATATTTCTTTCACAAAATAAAATAATAAAATAATAAAATAATATATTTGAGTAAAAATTCCTGTAGATGGCCAAAAAAAAGCCCCCCAAAAAACATCTGGTTTATCTTTTACTCTAAACTTTATTTAAACCTGTCAATAAATATTTTTATTTTTTTAATAGCTTCACGGTAAACTGTTGCTGGCAGCTGGTCACGTGACGTTGAAAGGGCAAGCGGGGGGGCACGCGCAGGGTTTTTTCATACTTTTGTAAACAACATGGCGATTCACGGACCTGCTCTGCTAGCAGACTGATCAAACACCGTGTTCTCAGACCTCTGGCTCTCTAGCTTTGTGAGGGGTTTCTGTTAGACGGTGCGGAAGTTGCACACCGAGCACACGGTCCAGTACGCGGAAAAACGACAAAGAGGTGGACCGACGAGCTGTCAAGAAGATCGTTTGACAGTCCAACGGTAGCCAAATGTTATCGTTAGCATTATCAGCTAGCTCGAACTAAATCTTCCCCAAGCATTTTAAACACGACGAGCTAATGTGCAATACACGGATGGTTAGTTTGTATTGAAGGAGTGGAGAGGTTTGCGCCAGTAACTTTAGCTGTTATAGGGCTTACGCCGTATCCAGGAAACATTATTTCCTAGCTGCTGTGCTTCTCGTCCCTCTCCAAGGTGTCTGGGATCACGTGACGTTGTCAGGTAACCCTGAAATTGTTGTTACACGTCTCGTTATTCTCTCTGGTAGGCCATCTTCAGTCTATGGGCTCACAGTCCAGTTCTGGGATGTCTGGTGGAAGGGGCTCTTCCAGTGGCAACCCAGGAGAGCAGTCTGAAGCGACAGAATCAAACCAGGGCGGCAGCAGCAGCCGAGGCCGCAGGACGGACAGGCAGTCTTCATCAGAGGAGGACGTTGACTTAGCAGAAGTGCTGGCTTACTTACTGAGAAGGTGAATTTCACAGTTAAAAACGCTCAAACTGATACCACGGAGGGCCTAGGTTTGTAGCAGAGGTACTATGGAGTTGTTTTGGTGAAAGTGGGCCATAACTAGCAGAAGTAAAAATGAGCAATTAATACATAAAAACACAAGTGCAATAAAGTCAAAGTCCTTCTAGTAGCAAGTCATACCATCGATCCACCACTTGTCTGAGTCATGGAGGCAGCAGTCTTAAGCAAGCGCTCCTCTTTCTAGCCGAGAGACGTAATCGTTATTAAAGACGATGACACTCAAAGCATTCCACAATTAAATCTGTGGGAGAGTTCTGCAACAGCCAAAATGTTGATAGAAGAAAAACTTGTTGGGGGCGAGGGAAGAAAGCTTTTTATTAACACGTGGCTGGTGATTCTGTGTGTGCAGTTTATACGTCCTGCTGACAACTGAAATTAAATTGGATAATTCTTCAAAATTACTGCCCAGAGGCATTTCGTGGTGAGGACTACATGTCTTTGGACTGCCCCGGGGACTTGTAGCATTAGTTCATTACTTTCTAATTTCTTGAACTCAGAACTAGGACAGAAGTCTTTGTCACATATGTGTGTAGTTGCTGCAGAGAAAATGACTTGTGTGTGGTGAGCGTATCGGGCACTTATTAAATGACATTTAGAGGCAAATAGAAGTAATGCATGCAGTATTCTATCTCGCTGCCAAAGAGCAAATAATTGAAACGTCACATCACATTCCAGCGCTGCAAAGCTAAGTGGGGGTTAAGGTTTTCCCATTTCAGTTTGATTTAATTGCACTTGGATAAGCTTGGAATTTTTTTGTATATCCCTCTGTAATAGTTTCTTTAGTGAACCGTGACATTGGCAGGGCCTGCTCTCGTGACCAGAGGGAACCGAGATTTGCAAGAAAAAACATTTGACATTTCTCACTTCTTTAGCGTTTAAATGTTGTCATTGCTACATGTTGTACAGCTGGACCATTTAGCTTTGGTTTCCACCTGTCAAGTCTTTTTTATTTTCTAGGTACATCTTTGCACTAGGGCAATAGATAATTGGATTAATCATAACTGATTAATTGACTGGTTGCTTGCATGTGCAGGGGTCAGGTAAGACTGGTCCATGGCAGTGGAGCCACGGGGCTGCAGCTGGTCCAGTCATATTCTGACTCTGATGAAGACAGCGATGGAGCCTGGGATGGACGGCTGGGTGACCGCTATAATCCACCAGGTAACCTCCCACTGACACAGGGCAGGAAAATAAGCAGTTTTTTTACTTTGTTGGTTTACTCTTCATTTATACCCTTAAATACATTGTTACAATGATCACATAATATGGAAAGCTAACAGATCTATTTAGAGTGCAGCCACTGCAGTGCAGAAATACACGTAATTACGTTAGGATGATGTCTTCTCTTTCCAAGTAGTGAAGCAGTGAATGAATGTCAGTAAGGTTTCATTTAGAGACATAATCGTGTTACAGTAATGTTATTGTCTTGTTTTCACTGCCATCCCAAAAATGTTATTTATGGAAACCTCAATTCAGTTTTTTTTGTTTTCTAGAACTAGTGAGGCCTAAATACTGTTTCTTCTTCCTTTTGTGTGTTTCTTCTTTTGCTCTCGTTGCATGTCTGTTCATCTTCTGTCAATCAGTGATGGATCAAACATAAAACAATGTTTCAGCTGTCAAATATTTCCATGGATTGTTCTCTCAAATATGTAGGACGGCTAATCAGAGCATGCCTGAAGTTCTGAGAGCTTGTTGTTGAATGTGAGCTCCTACTGAGGCTTGTTCTTTGTGTTCTGTCTTTAGTGGACACCCAACCTGACACACACGAAGTGGACCGGAGTGAGATCCGCACTCAGATCCTGCTGGCCACCGCCTCCTCTTCCTTGAAAGGCTATCGCAGTTTCACCCACATGCTAGCAGAGGTCAGACCCCAGAAATAAAATCTAAATGGAAAATAATTGCGGCAGTGCAGTCGTATTAGTTTTGTTTATAGAGTTCAATGAAGTTATGAAACTGCAAATAAATGTTTTTGTGTGCAGAGAGAAAAAGGCAGATGTAGAGGCTCCAGTTTTTCCCACGGAGAGTGCAGTCGTATCCGTACGCAGTAAGTAACTTTGGAGTATTTAAAATCTAAATTAGAATTAAATAGCAATTAGTTTAGCGTGACTAAAGCCTTGATTGGACCATTGTGCTCTGTTGGAGCAGAGGGATAGCTGCACAATTGCTGTGAAAATATACAATGCATTGGACAGAAGAAGACGAAATATTAAAATTGTGACCCCAGTGTTCTTCTGCAGTTTCCTGCCAAACTATGTGTCCCACAAGGATACATACCAGCAGAAAGCCTTCTGTGGAGTGTACAGCGAGGATGGCAACATGTTCCTCTCCGCCTGCCAAGGTAAATAGCACGATGTCCAACTTGAGGATCGAGAGGGGCTGAATCAGGTCTGATTTTTATTCTGAGTGTTTGTTTAAAGCTGCTGCGTGGATCACCAAATCATGCTGTGTTGTGTACAGACTGTGTTCAGGCGGAGGGGAGTATTATTGGACTTTTCTCATGTTCTAAAAAACAAATATCAAGCGCATCATCAGTTCCTATTTCCTGATTTAATGATTAATGAATGAAGTTACTGTTTTGTAAGCAAACTAAACAAGCGGAGGACAACATGTCTCACCACGTCTCACCTACGCTTGCCTAACTGTCACGACTATTCTTCTTGTATTATGTCTGTGTTAGTGATCAGCAGCAAGCCCTGAACAACAAACCAGAGGCTGGTGACATACACGTGTAAATGAGTCCTTATGTTAGTTCAAACTGATTAGTCTTACAGACAAAATGGAGAAAGTGAAATAAATCACTCTGTTTGTACCCAAGGAATAAATTAATAAACAAACAACCTCTGAGGGACCTGTAAAAAAACCCCAAACAAAAACAAATGCGAGTCTTTGTATTTTGTTTAGTTTTGTTTTTTTTCTTGCTACAGACCAGAACATCCGCTTGTACGACACCAGTAGGGGGCGTTTTCACCTGTGGCGAACGGTGAAGGCCCGTGACGTGGGCTGGAGCGTGCTGGATGTCTGCTTCACCCCCGATGCACACCACGTGCTCTACTCCAGTTGGTCTGACTACAGTAAGGCTATGGGACTAGTAAAATTTTACGTGATGAAATGAGGAAAACAGTTTGCCATCATTAGAAAAACTAATTCTGTAAAGATTCAGCAAACCTATAAATATTCAAGATTGGCTCTTTTTTTTTTCTTTTTTTTTTTTTTTAGTTGGGATTATAAATCCACTTTTCCTAAAACAAAAATAAAAAAAATCTGGGACTGTTCGTGAACTGTAAATCAAACACATAAAAGGATATTTGTACCATTAGACAGAGCAGACACAAAAAATCTGAATATTAGGCTGGGACAGGTGCAGGTTTTTGTTTCTTTCTTATTTTTTAAACAACAGAGGGAATTTTTTAGAACTATAAAGCTTTTCATTTTGAAAAAGTATTGTTTTATATTCTTGTTCAGTACAGAACTGTCATATTTTTCCCTTCCTAATGCGGCACATGTTTATATTATATTATATTATAGATGTGTGCAGAATGTGGTTTAATATTGATTCGCTGAAATCAGCAAGGTCTTTGCTGAAAAGCCCATGGCTGCATAGCAGCATATATTTTTCCAAACCCTTACTGTTAAGCATTAATGGTGCCTTCACAGATGTGTAAGTTATCCAGTATTACCATCAAAGATGTTGCTTTTTGAACTGCCAAGGCAGATGATCCCTCTGCTTTGTGTCGTTGATATCCAGAAAGACTTTCAGAATCTGATTTGTTAGACCACAGGTTGTTTTTGTGGCTTTAAAGAAGAAATTATATTACATTTATTTTTAAAAATGTTCAGAAAAGAAAGTATTTTAAGGTACTAAATAAGAGTAAATAACACTTAGCTTTGCTGTATACACAGCTGCTTATTGTATTGGTGTGTCAAAATACATTCACCCACCACTTCATAAGCTATGCCTGTTCAGCTGCTCATTAACGCAAATGTCTAACCAGCCAATGACATGGCAGCAACTTGGTTCATTCAGGCATGTAGACATGGTCAGGGTGACCTGTTGAAGTTCAAACTGAGCATCGGAATGGGGAAGAAAGATGATTTCAGTGAGTGAACGTGGCATAGTTGTTGGTGTCACGCAGGCTTGTCTGAGTGTTTCAGAAACGGCTGATCAGCTGGGATTTTCCCACACAGGGTTTACAGAACATGGTCTGAGAAACTGAAAATGAGCAGCGGTTCTCTGGGTGAAGATACCTTGTTGATCTCAGAGAAGAGTGACCAGACCGTGACTCAAATAACCACTCATTACAAACAAGGTGTGCAGAAGATCATCGCTGAATGCACAACATGTTAAACCTTGAAGCAGATGGGCTACAACAGCAGAAGACCCTACTGCGTCAGTGCTGTCAACTAAGAACAGGAAACACAGACTTACCAAATTTGGACAGTACAAGATTGGAAAATGTCTTAATGAGGAGTTTCACTTTCTGCCATCACATTTGTACGGCAGGGTTAGTATCATTGGTTCAAGCTGCTGGTGCTGCTGTAATGGTGTGTGGAATATTGTCTTGCTACACTTTGGTCTTCTTCCAGCAGGATAACATGCCACGTCACGAAGATTCAATAATGTCAAACTGGTTTCTTTAACATCACAATGAGTTCATTGTGTTCAAAATGGCCTCTACAGTTACCAGATCTCAATATGATGAAGCACCTTTGGGATTTGTGACAAATCCGCAGCAACTGTGTGATGCTGTCATATCGAGATAGACCAAAACTTCTGAGGAATGTTTCCAGTATCTTGTTGAGTGTATGCCACAAAGAATTGAGTCATTTTTGAAGGAAAGATGGGATCCAACCCAGTTCTAGTAAGGTATATCTAATAGGGCTGCCACAAACGATTATTTTGATAGTCGACTAGTCACCGATTATTTTTGCGTTTAATCGACTAATCAGATCATGCATCCATTGGATGTACAGCTTATTGCACCAGCAGCATCTGCTGTTATATAACTATCATTAGCTTACAGCTTTAAGTGTTTGAGGTCTGTGCAAACTAAAAATAAAGGCAAGATGATAGTTTATTAAATTTTAATGAAATTTGCAGATTGTTTCGGTGAAGTTTAATAAACTCCTTGCCAAACAATAACATTTTTAAGTTATCTAAGTGACTTATATATCATGTTTAACCTGAGTAGCGAAAGACCGCGGTGGGTTTGAAAACGATTTGGTGTTCTCACGGGCTCTAGTGAGCCTTGCCCTCGGCTAGCTATCGAGCTAGTGGGTAACAGACGTTTTTGAAAATGTGGTGTCTTGATAAACTGAGCAGATATTTGAGGTTTACACAGCTACATTCTCGCCTGAAAATATGTTAAACGTTTATTTTGTGACCCAGAAAGAATAACAAGAGTAATATTTAAACTAACTAGCTGCCGCCATTGTTGGAAACTGAGCTGGGCTGTGCTATGAATTCTGGGATACAGCTACTTCTTCTTCTTCTTCGGGGTTTAACGGCAGCTGGCATCCTTGTACATGCAGTGCTGCCATCTTCTGTTTCAGTCTGTTATTACACTCTTAAATTCTACTTATTCCTGCGTCTTTTGTGATCTTACAAAGCTTCAAACGACGCGTTGACTACTAAATCAGTCGTCGACGATAGTCGACGTAATCGTGGCAGCCCTAATGCAACTACAATTAGGGGTGGGTTTTAATAATCGATTCATCGATTAAAATTGATTCTGGCTTGGACAACGTGATATCGATTCATTAAAATCCTGAATCGATTTTTTTAATATAAATGTATTTTGCCCAAAATTCCAGAATCTCAGGTGAGACATCACAAAATTTTGACAACCACCAAACATTTAAAAGAGTAAATGAGAGCAGGAACACGGCTTCTGCACAAAGACGTAAACACAAAGCGCAGACCCGCGAATCAGAATCAGTGAGATGTCGCCTTTCTCACCCGACGGCAGGGACACAGCCGGGGCTGAAAGCCGACAGCTCGCTGATTCTGATGTTTCGGCGGGTCCGCGCTTTGTGTTTACGCCCATTTTGCGCTGATTCTAAAGCTGTTAGTTTCATCTCTCTCCAAACAATATTGACCAAACCAGCAGCAAAAGAATATCCAAACTACGCTTCACATAAACATCGTCATGGACTCCCTCTGACTTTTGCTGTTTTGCTTCCACCACAATAAAATCACACTTCATGCACAGCTCTCTCTCTCTCTCTCTCTCTTTCTCAGTGTTCAAGAACAGTTTCCCGTCTATCCCTGAAATCTGTTTTCTGCATTATTTGCTTGCTTGTTACGCACAAGACTATCGTTGTTTACAGCACTGTCGGCCAATGTTTTTTTTCTCCTTTTACTTCCGAAAAGAAAACCTAATTTCTGCCGTTCAATAGGCTTCTGAACAAATGTTTAAACTTTTTAAAATTATACAAAATGCAAAACGCTCAGCCGTGTCTCTAATAAAACCGCTGTAACTTCAGAGGTAATGTTCATATGTTAATTAATGGTTTTCTTTCGTTTTTGATGTACTGCAGAATATTTTTATAAAATCCTAGGCCAGGAAAAATCACCTTCATGTTTTTCTGTTTTATCTTCAGCTCCTTTGACACAAAGGCATCTGCTGTGATGCTCACACCTTTGATAAAGTCTGGAAAGTGTCAGCTTCCTTTTTATAGATACAAAAATATGTAAATGTCCTGATCTGAATTATAATATTTCTGACTGTCTGAGGCAAAATTTCCCAGATTTGAATCGAATTGAATCGAATCGTGGAACAAATCGATTCTAGAAATCGGTGACGATATTCAGCCCTAACTACAATGTAGTGTCTAAACATTTCTACAATAGAACAATGAAAGTAGAGCCTTTAACAGCATCACTTGTGAGAAATGCGAAGAAGTGAATAAATGAATCAGGAAGTGATTTCTTTCATATTGAAAGTGCTTTTACATTAGCCACAGCTTCCAGGAGTTTTCTGGTTTTTGTTTTGTTTTTAAGCAGCATATCAAACACGTTTTTAGCTGCGATGTTTTAGTCATACGTGTCTCTCTCTGTTCCTCCCCCACAGTTCATATGTGCAGTATAGATGGAGACAGTGAAAACCACACCGCCCTGGACCTCAAGTTAGTGTTTCCCCTCATAGTAACTTATAACATTACGGAGCAGGTAATCTATCATTCCTTACCAGCAGGCCCTCCTCTCCCTTCATTACCACCTGGATGAATGATGCTGTCAGAACTTGTCACCCCAACATCCATCCTCTCGCTCTGTGTGCGCTCCTTTTGTTAAAAATAGATCATTAATTCAACAAAGCACTGCCATTAAACTCACAGCTCTCCTAACAAAAACATTGTTTAAAAGGTGATGCTTGCTTTCATAAAGCCTTTATGTTATCCCACACCAAAAAAATAAATAAAGTAGATAGAGTGTGGTTGTAAATCAGCAATTGTGCTCTTACTGCAATGTCCAACCTGTGTGTGTGTGTGTGTGTGTGTGCGCGCTGTTGTGCTTTGTAGTCCAGATGAGAGGAGGTTCTGTGTGTTCTCGCTGGCTGCGTCCACAGATGGCAAAGAGATCCTGGGAGGGTGAGTACAATTTGCTTTTATGTTTCAAGGCAGTGACTGACAAGGTTGAAATGAGTACTGAAGGCTCTTTATGAAATTTGAATTCAAGCACAACTCTGCTTTTCTTCCATTTGTTGGCGGTATATTCGAAATATGTTTATTAGAGCCTCAATTTAGGGGAGTTGTTTTATTCTTTTCTCAGCCTCTCTTCTCTCTCATTTCAGAGCAAACGACGGCTGCCTTTACGTTTTTGATCTTGAGCAGAATAAACGAATGTTGAAGGTTAGTGTGTCTTTGTGTGCATTTGTCTTTTTGCTCGCGCGTCGTCTTGGCCGTGCCCGTTTCAGCGTCACGTCTGTCTGATTTGCGCTTCATCCTTCGGTCAAGGTTAGCCAGATGCAGCGGAGCAGAAACTACATAAAGTTTTACACCATCCTGTAGTCTAATATAGCAGCGAAGAGTCCAGCTCCGCCACACAGTGGGACGGTGGGGGTTAAACCTACCGCCCTCCCTCCTCCCATAACCGCCCCGTGCGCAGAAGTCAGCATTCGACCTCGACCATCTGCTTCGTCTCTGTCGTCCGCCGTTTCTCTGTCTGTCCCTCCTAATTACCTCAGTGTTGTGGTGTGTTTCTGTGCTTTTATCTCTCAACTTTTTATTAGTTGTTTGTACTTTCACTGTCACTTCCTCATGTGCCGCACTAGACTTTCCACGATTCAGTGCAGTGATGGGAAACTGAAGTCGGGGCATTTTGCTGCTGTGGTTCCGGTTAGTGTTTTTCCCCATTGGAGGGAAGGATTTCTGCAAATCAATAGAAAGCTGTTGAGGCTGATCTGTGTCTCACAATGAGACGTTCATATTCTCTCTCAGGATGACGGTCATCTCGTCCACTGAATGGGTTTAGTGATTATAAAATGATGTGAATCACACGCTGTGGCCTTCATAGTAACCTGTTAGAGATGGCCTCCACATCATTAAAACGGTAAATAATGAAATGTCTTATGAAAGAAAGCAGTTCAGTTGTTCTGCTAGAACCGCTCATCACCATGCTTCATGTTGAGTTATCCTTTCATTTGTGACACATCCTTTTATCTAGCGATTTATTTCGTCTTCTTGCACATATAAAGGACAAAACTAACAAACACTTGTACTGCTGTAATTACTAACAGCTACATCTTTGCATTTGGAGACTCACAACCATGCCGTGTGTATAAAGCCTGTTTGTAGCACAGCCTTTGAGGCTTATGTAGTGAAAAGTCTGAGTTTCAGTGCGCAGCAGCCTTGAAGAAAAATGCTCCTTTCATTACTCCTGCATAGGCACAGACATGCATAAGTGCGCACACACACACACTTTTCACAACAACATGTAAATAGCCCACTTGTAAATAGCACATTCTTGCACACATGTGCACACGCTCCATACAGTAAACACTGACTCTTTCTTTTGCTGCCGTCCTCATCAGATTGATGCCCACGAGGACGACGTGAACGCGGTGGCGTTCGCCGACAGCTCGTCCCAGCTGCTGTTCTCTGGCAGCGATGACGCACTGTGCAAGGTGTGGGACAGACGGACGCTGCGGGAGGACAGACCGCAGCCTGTTGGACAGCTGGCCGGCCACCGAGACGGCATCACCTTCATCCACAGCAAGGTGGGTGCGAGTGTGTGTGTGTCTGTGAGGGGGGGTCTCTCAGTAAAAAGTTTTCCAGTTACTTGGAAATGGTTTAAATGAGAACATTAATCGTACAGGACGTTTATTCAATCACATGTATTGTTCTAACTCTCAGATCTCGGTCTCTTTTTTTTTCCATTTTGTCACGATGCCAGGGTGACGCTCGCTACCTGATCAGCAACTCGAAGGACCAGTCCATCAAGCTGTGGGATGTCAGGAAGTTCTCGCCCAAAGAGGGGCTGGCAGCTTCCCGTCTGGCTGTCACCCAGCAAAACTGGGACTACCGCTGGCAGCAGGTTCCCCAGAGAGGTGAGGAGGGGAGGGGCCGAAGAAGGGCGAAAGGGAGGTACTCGTGGTAAATGAGTCAGAGGGGAAGTTGGAGGACGAGAGGAGGAGAGGTCACACAGAGGAGGAGATAAAGATGAAATGATGATATTAAAAAAAGAGAGAGAGGAGGCAGTAACAGGGAAGGTGTGTGTGTGTGTGTGTGTGTGTGTGTGTGTGTGTGTGTGTGTGTGTGTGTGTGTGTGTTTGTGTGTGTGTGTGTCGTGAGGATAAAAAGACTGTAAAGCCACACGTAGGGAGAGTGATTACCATTACAAGCCAAAGAGGAGGGAAGGAGTGGAGGAGAGGTGAAGGATAGGAGTTTGGATAATGAGATAGAGCAGGAAGAGAGGAGGAGACGAGGCGGTAAAAAAACTAAACAAAATGAAACGATCTAGTTCAGGGTGCAGTTTCTTCTAAGCTTGATATAAATCTACATGGTCTTTTGGATTAAAGTTGAGGACAAGTGTGAGGAAAGAGCATAAACAGTAAAAAAAAAAAAAACATTTATAAAATGGAGAAATCCTTGTGCATCTTTTTGTTATTTAGCAGTTTTGTGTTTGTTTACTTGCTCCTCGCAGCCCTGAAGAGACACAAGCTGACAGGCGACACCTCAGTAATGACCTACCGAGGTCATGGCGTCCTCCACACCCTGATACGCTGCCGTTTCTCACCAGAGTTCAGCACTGGGCAGAGATTCATCTACTCCGGCTGTTCCACGGGCAAAATCGTCAGTAAGTGACTGTGTGTGTCTGTCAGTGTGTAAACGGCGACAAAGTCTGCGTGAGCTGATGCACAAAGTAATATTTGAAGAATCGAAAATCAGTTGAACCCTGTGTGTGTGTGTCCAGTCTACGATGTGCTGACCGGCACGGTGGTAACCAGACTGGTGGGCCACGACGCGTGCGTGAGAGATGTCAGTTGGCACCCGTACGAGGACAACATCATCAGCAGCTCTGTGAGTGCGGTTAATGCAGAAAGTGTCCTGCTGGAATCAGCGTGTGAAAGCTCGTCATCATAAATATCACATTAAACCCAAAAGAAAGCCCTTTCCAGAAGTTGTAAAACGATTTAATAGAGTGGCGTTAATCCCAGACACTGTTTCCTCTACTAATGGAATAAGGCATAATTTAGAAAAGTCTGAGACAATTTGATACGTTTTCTGGTAATTACGGGGGAAAAATGACCATTTGCAGAAATAAACGACTGTTTTTTTGCCCGCTCACATATTCCATTAAATTAGACTTTTTAGCAATTTCACTACTACCACTACTTGATAAAATGGAAAACAACATTAAAGCAGTGCAAATGAACTGAGCTGTTTCGACTAGAAGAAGGAAGCAGACATGAGATGCAGAGTACTTTATGTTTATACTTTACACCGCTGAGGCCTGGACCAAATCACACACAAGCAAAGCTGGATTTATGGTCGTGCAGTGCTGCTTCCAAGCGTAGCTCTTTGGGTGTGCAGAGAGGAGGATTGTGGGAGTTCAACCAGCAGAGAGGCTACAGCAAGGGTGCAGTCCTGCAGAAAGTAAACACAGCTTTGCCCCCGAGCAACGCGTCAGAGGAAAAAGTGAATTAAAAATCCCAAAAAGCAAAATAAGAAGCGCAGAAATTGGAGGTTTTCCACATATTTTGACTCGGCCACTAAGTAGGTCTGCAGAACTCTGTGTAGCACATATGCGCTATTGATGTAGTAGCATATCAAGACCATAAATTAGCTCTTTGCTTGGCTAATAAAAATGCTGCTTCTTTTCCATTTGTGGTTAAAAGCTGCCGCTTGTTTTGTTGGCATAAAGCATGAATCATGTCACCGTTATTTAACAGAGCAGACAGGCTCAGCAGCTGTTTTAAAAGTGATAACAAGAGTCCATCCAGCTTAAGAACATTAAACTACGGGGCTTAGATGGCACAGTTATTATTTTTTAACCTCTGATCTCCATCCTTTCTCTACAGTGGGACGGAGCGGTTCGAATGTGGGAGCACAGACAAACCCATCCCCTAGACGAGGAGCGAGACACGACAAGGGGAGGAGGAGGAGAGGAAGGGAGCTGTTGGAGGAAGTGATGTTAGCACAGAGGAAGGCAGTGAGCTCAGAAGGCCTGGGAGAGACTTGAGTATCTGCTAACGTTAGTGCGGGATATTAGTGATTCAAATGAAAGCGTGGCTGAGAAAAGTTCACTGGGAAGGCGCCTGAGCCTCGTGCTGTCCAGTGCCGATCAGAACACGGCGGGACGGCTGTTGCCACCTGCAGCTGTCTTTCTGTTTTTTCCCCCCCTGTTTTTTTGTTTATTGCCTCATGTCTTGCACAGAATAAGGAGGCCAGAGCTTTTTCAATCCAGCCTGGGACATTTTACTCAAAATGCGCTGAAGCTGCACTTAACGAGCTGTTGGAATGAAACAATAAGTTAGTGATTTTATATATATAT